TCCCGCCCCACGCGGCGCCTCCCCGTGGGAGCCGGTGCTCACAGCAGTAAATTGGGGAAATCTGCGGTCAATTCCTGCGATCCGGCCGTTTCCAGCCGTGCCTCCCCCTAGGCAAGCGCGGGGCCAGCCAGCGGGGCAGCTTGGGCCATCGCGGCCTGTCCCGCCTGTGAGGCCGGGCAGGGCTAAGGGCTTCAGGAGGGCGGCTCGGTTCCTCCTGGCCCCGAGTCCAACACGGGAAGCGGCTCCAGCAGCCAGAGCAGCTTGTGGGAACAGGAAAGGTGTAGAGGGACCCACACGGTGGGTCTGTTACTCCGGGATTTTTCCAGGCAGTGAGGCTGGTTGTACGTATTACGTGAGGTAAATCAAAGTTCAGGCCTTTCACATCCTCTCTCAGCAATTCTTCTTATCCCCCCTCCCCAAACTCACTCCATGGGCTGCCAGGACTGGGGAGTCCTGGAAGTCTGACAGGAGCCCCCAGTTCTGGAGGAGAGAGTGAAAAAATGAGGTCAAACCTGCTCACTGGGGCTGGGGGAACATGCATGGAAAGCCCAAATATGAGAGAAACGCAATGCACCAAACTAACTCTGAGGAAGGCTCCTTGGTTACACTGGGTTTCAGGCTCTGTTCCCCCACCAGGAAAAAAGAAAAAAAAAAAGTCTTGAGAATTATCTGAGTGCTTCAAAATCTACCAGCTGGAGCTACCCAAGTTCAATCATGGGGGTTACAAGACGTGGATAGGAGCAAGAAATGATGCTCTGAATGAGACCCTTTGCTCGATGTTTCAGGCCTGGCTTGCCTTTTGGACTAAATGCTTGGAAACATGGAGACAGATTAAAAAAGAAAATGCCTCTGCTTTCTTTATTATTAACCATTTAAATGAAGACAAAAAAAGCCATCACTTCGGACAGGTGGGGCTTGAAACCATTAAGAGGAGCAGCAGAAAATAAAAGACAAATATTTAGTCTTGCTTTAAAGTTTCAATCTATTTTGCACCCCAGGAAACCTTTGAAATCCTTAATAATAGTGTAGTTAAGACCATTTAAGACCAAAGGCCTGGATCCTGCAGATTCTCTTCCTCAGACAGAGAGAGACACAAATTCCTAGCGGGATGGCCTTTTCCATGTAAAAAGCTCTGTAAATAGAAGGATGTGAAGCACAGATCCTGTGCAGCGCTGCTCAAGGACTGCAAAAAAAGACTTCAGCAAATTCTCAAACCAGACATACAAAAGTGAGGAAATTAGCAGTGCTGGTGTGTCTTCAAACTGCACGCTACATCTCCTGGCGTAGCGTGGATGTGCACCCACGGAAACATAGCTAAATGAGGGTGAACGGGCAAGCAGATGCAGCAGGACTTTACGCAGAATTCATTTTCTTTGCCTTAGCAGCAGCTTCAATTTCTTCCAGGATCGGAACCGGTCCTGCATAGTTATTGGTTTCTATAGCTTCTAATTTCTTCTGATACTCATCTGGCAAGCCGTTCTGTCTTGCACCCATGCAGATAACCTGCAGTCAAAAGGAGAGAAAAAGGAAAAGCGAAAAACCTCAACAATAATGTTAGGAAAGAGAGATCCCTACAGACTTTTTTGCTCATACAGGAAGAACTGCTTATGGTAACAAGAAATTAATCACAAATAATGTTGTTTGCACCCACGGACACCTAAAGGCTTCTGGACGACTATTGAAGACAATCAACAAAATTAATGTGAAGTTCATAGCAGGTGCTACCCAGGCAGACCCCTTAGGATCCTGAAAAGCTATTACTATGCACCAGACTGCATGATTAAGCTCCTGTTCAGGCATTTCAGTCTTTCCTCCAGGGAAGAAGAGGACTTCTATGTCTTCACTCAGCCTTAGTATCAGATCTGAGTGAAAAGCAGCATTTATTATTGAAAATCTTTTTCAAACTAAACCGTTTGAATCCAAAGCACAGCTGTGAGTAGCTAGAGTGGTTAGAGGAATAAAAAATACAGTAATGAGAACAGCTTAGTAAAAATACCTAGCTTAAAATTTGTTACTGCAGCGTTTCTTCTACCCACAAAGCAAGCTGAAGCTTTAGCGCAGAAGAAACTAAATGGCAAAGCGAGAGGAAAAGAGGAGGCTGTAGGAACTGCGACTAGAAAGGACACTAGCAAGTTCACAAGCAGG